GTGTCTCTGCCTAAGGCACCTTCTGATTGGTTTAATAAAGAGCTAAATGGCCAATAGCTAAGCAGGAGAGAATAGGCGGGACTTCCAGGGAGAGAGAGGATTCTGGGAAAGGAGTAGACTCCAGCAAGACTCAGAACAGGTTGAACATACAGTACAGAGGAGAGGTAACCGAGCCACATGGCAGAACATAGGTTAATAGAAGCAGGTTCATTTGAGTTATCAGAGCTAGTTGGGGACAAGCCTAAGCTAAGGCCGAGCTTTCATAATTAATAAGAGGTCTCTGTCCTTATTTGTGGGCTAGCAGTCCAAGAAAGCCTGACAAGAAAGTCAAACTACAGGGGTGTGCATGCCAGGGCACATTCCGCAGGTGGAGGTCAGAGAACAACTTTGTGGAACTGGTTCTCTCTTTCTACCATGTAGGTCCTGGGGATTGAACTCAGGTCATCAGGCTTGGCAGCAAGCCCCCTTTACCCTCTGAGCCATCTCACCAGCTGTAAATTGTAGGCTGACTTTTTTTGGTCGGGACCATTGGCTCCCCAATAATGACAGATTTATTATTAATTATGAAAGCTTGGCCAATAGCTTAGACTTTTTTTTTAGCTAACTCTTATAACTTAACCATTTCTATTCATCTGTGCGCTGCCCTGAGGCTCGTTTACCTCATCTATGTACTGTCCATCCTGCTTTCCTGCTTCCTCCTCGACTCTCTCTCGTCTCCGCCCTTCTTCCCAGGGTCCTCTGTGCCTGGAAATCCTGCCTAGCTATTGGCCATTCATAGCTTTTTATTCAACCAATCACAGTGACATATCTTTACACAGTGTAATTAAATATCTCACAATAGTAAATTATCTTTAGTAAACCTCAACTCTGCTTCATAATGGCTAGTCATGAAACTTTTTCTGTTTTGAAACCAATGGCCTGGTTTTACCTGAGTAGAGGTCCCTAAAAGATTAAAGGAACTTATCAGGCTTCAGAGGCAGTGGCATGGAGCTGTGTCTCTATCCCTGTTACCACTGATCCTCCTGCCTCAGCATCGAGAGTTATGGGATTATAGGTGTGAGTCACCACTCTTGGCTATTGATGTTGGTGGTGCTGGCAAAGAAGGTAATCCAAGCTGGCACGACATGAACAAAAACAATTAGATGTCCACTGAGTCCCTCCATTAAAAGTCCAACATGCTCCTTTGTGAGCATCGTGAGGTGACCTGCAAAAATGATTCACTGTTCTTTTGACGAGAAGACCTACAAAATTTATAAATCAAGAGGGTCAGCCATCATTCCCCAGGGACTACACAGGTAAGCATAGTGCTCACCCCTCACCAAGAACATTCTTTGCAACAGATGGAGAACACATCAATTGTTTATTCAATACCAAGAGGTCAACTCTGAAATCATTTACATGCAAGTAACATTATACAGAATCAGCAAGTTAAGTGTGTGTAACAACAATTAAGGAAAAGACTGTAAATCTGAAAGAAAGCAAGGGGGATACATGAAAATGTTTGGAGGGAGGTGAGGGGAGAGAGAAATGATGTAATTATAATCTCAAAAAAAATGGGTTTGGGGATTTAGCTCAGTGGTAGAGTGCTTGCCTAGCAAGCACAAGGCCCTGGGTTTGGTCCTCAGCTCCGAATTAAAAAAGAAAAAAAAAGAAAAGAAAAAAAAAGTTATATTAAAAAAGAGAGCCAAGAGGCCCACCTGCCTCTTTTCATAGGTGGGTGGGTGCCACTATGATGAGCAATTATGTAGTAGAGAGATTGGGGAGAAAGAGAAGCAGAGTGGTTTGTGTGCTGTGGAGGGAGGCAGAACTGGTGAGGAACAGTCTGATGATGTGAGAGGCCTTTGCTGTCACCTGAGGGCCATGTCTGGGCCTGTGGTCCTACTGAAGCCAGGATCTGTGTTGATGTCTGTGGTCTGGGCTGCAGCCTGAAACCATGTTGATGTCTAAGCTGGCCCCACACCCTCACCAGCTGCCGCTGACCCACCCCAACATCTACCCCATCTGTGAGCTGCCAGACTGTGTGACGGATCTGGTCCTGTGGAACCACAGCCACAGGATCTCCATGACAGGGGCAACAGCAGGATATCGAAGGGGAGTCTCGGTGAGGGTCCAGGATTGATGGTGTGCCAGTGACCTTGAACCAGACCAATGACTCATTGCAGTGAACATTTGCAAGTAAAGCTGTTTGGGCAAAAGGGTTCAGGGCTTGACACACCGCAGCTTCGTGATGGAGAGGCAGGAAAGACAGAAGAGCAGAGTGGTGCATGCCCAGTGGAGCTGCGGCAGCCATGACAGTATGAGAGAAGGCTGCAGTGGAGAGAGGAGCAGGTAGTTGTCCAGAGGCGTTGGTGAGATGGCTTAATTTTGTTTTTCTTTTGGTTTTTCGAGACAAGGTTTCTCTGTGTAGCTTTCTCTGTATAGCTTTGCGCCTTTCCTGGATCTCACTCTGTAGACCAGGCTGGCCTCGAACTCACAGAGATCCACCTGGCTCTGCCTCCCGAGTGCTGGGATTAAAGGCATGCACCACCACCGCCTAGTGAGAAACTCTGTCTTGAAAAACAAAACAAACAAAAACATTTTTTACTTTTTTATTGTTGTTGGTGGTGGAGGGTTACAAGGGTGAAAGAACTAGAGGATGAGTGGGATTGAGGTGCATGATAGGAAATTCCTAAAGAATCAATAAAAAAATTACGTTAAAAAAGAGGGCCAAATATTCTTGTTCACTATGTAGCTGAAAATAACCTTGAACTCCTGATCCATCTGCCTCTACCTCCCTAGTCCTAGCTGTAAACCACTAGGTTATTTATAGCTAGGTTGAAAGATGTCACTAAGTTTTGGGCATGGTGGTACACACCTTTAGCATCAGCATTTGATAGGCAGAGGTAGACAGATCTCTGCAAGTTTGAGCCAGCCTAGTCTACATAGTAAGTTCCAGGCTGCAGAGTGAGACCCTGTCTCAAAACTTAAAGAATGACCAAAAAGACAGAAGTGCTGTGAAATATTCCTTTACACTGTGTGAAGATGTGTCACTGTGACTGGTTTAATAAAAAGCTGAACAGCCAATAGCTAACAAAGAGGTATAGCAGGGACTTCTGGACAGAGAGCGCTCTGGGAAGAGGAAAGGGGGAGTCACCAGCTGGACACAGAGGGAGCAGGACATGAAGGAGGAGAGGTAAATGCCACGAGCCACATGGCAGCATGTAGATTAATATAAATGGGTTAATTTAAAGTTATAAGAGCTAGTTAGAAACAGCCCTAAGCTACAGGCCGAGCTTTCATAATTAATAATAAGTCTCTATGTCATTTTTTTGTGAGCTAGTAGCCCAAAGAAAAGTCTGGCTACACAGAAAGCAGGAGGATCACCCACAAATTCTAAGCAATGAGTTTCAGGCAGCTAGAACAACACAGAAACACACACACACACACACACACACACACACAGAGAGAGAGAGAGAGAGAGAGAGAGAGAGAGAGAGAGAGAGAGAGAGAGAGAGAGAGAGAGAGAGAGAGAGAGAGAGAGAGAGAGAGAGAGAGAGAGAGAGAGAGAGAGAGAGAATATGAAAATGATTTTCTGCTGGGCAGTGGTGGTGCACGCCTTTAATCCCAGCACTCAAGAGGCAGATCACTGTGAGTTTAAGGCCAGCTTGGTCTACAGAGTGAGTTCCAGCACAGTCAGGGCTATACAGAGAAACTGTCTGAAAACACACACACACACACACACACACACACACACACACACACACACACACGTAAAAGATTGTTGGTTATAAAAAAGCAAAACCCAAAAATATTCCCCAAAAGTTTGACTTACGGTCTGCTTCGTAACATGCTAGGCCTTTTACATTTTCTGCTTCATCAAACCCTTATTTTACAGAGGAGACACAGAAGTCAGTCCAGTGACTGATCCAGGACAGATTTCAGACCTGGCACAGAACCTGCTTGTTCTCTAATGTACATCCCAAACTGCTGTTGCCTTCCCTGACCTCCTCCGCAGGAGTGTCCCACACACTTTTCAGTTACAGAGTGTGAGCAGCTGTGGCTTAGCTTTCAGCAAGCCCTTCATTCTACATGAGAAGGCAGCCCACCTCAGTCCCATTTTCTTCTGTTCACTTCAAGGGCTGAGGAGGCCAGGCCTAAAACAAAGCATGCACGAAATGGGAAGATTTAAACCAAGAGATCCTCGTCCCTGCACAGCTGGAGGTCTGAGCATCTGTTCCAACCCGAGGAGGTGTGGGAGGGCATTAGGAGCAAGCATCAACACATCCTGGACTCTAGCAAATGATCCCTTCCCTGTGCCTCAGTTTCCACACAAGCATATTGAGGAGCTTGGCTAGTAGAGTCCTCCAGGTTTCTAGTGTAGGTCTTATGGGAGTGAGTCTTCCCGAAGTTTCTTTTCTGAGGAAAATTTTGGAGATCCTGGACGTACAGAGTCCAGCCAACTGGGCTTTGGTTCATTCAGGTGCCAACAGAGCGTTTGTTAGGTGGAGGCACAGGGACCACATCAGAGAGCCAGACAGCCGCTCGCTTTGGACCTCAGGTATCGGACCTGAGACCCTCCAGCTTCCACCTCCCAGGACTGCCAGATTAATAGGCCCCCAAGAGCTCAGTGGAGAGGATTAAGGGCTTGGAAGAGGGAGAGATTCTGTTCTCCTTCCATCTCTGCCTCCCTGGGGTAGGTGACCTTAACTCTCTGGGTATTCTGTTCCTCCCCTTGGGGAATGTTCTGAATGTCTTTGTTCTTGCCAAACTCATATTTTAAATACCAGTCCTTCAGTTAGGTATGGTGTCACACATCTGTAGTCCCGCCACCAGGAGGCTGAGGCCGGATTGCTACAGCGAAATCCCAGAAGGCCTGCCTGGACTATATAAGACCCTGTCTCAAAAAAAAAAAAAAAAAAAAAAAAAAAAAAAAAAAGAAGAGGAAGGAGGAGGAGGAGGAGGAGGAGGAGGAGGAGGAGGAGGAGGAGGAGGCGGCAGCAGCTGCAGCAGCAGCCACCAGGTATGGGGCTCAGTAGGCACTAGGCAGAGGCAGTAGGTGTGAAGCCAACTTGGTCTACAGCCAGGGCTACCTAGTGAGAACCTGTCCTACCATACCTACTGTAGAACTTGGTGCCACACACACTTGTAAAGCCAGTGTTCTGGAGGCTAAGACAGAAGCTTCTCTGTGAGTTTAAGTTTAGCCTGGGCTACAAAATGAGACCCTGGCAACTCTCTGCAGGAGCTGAATCTGCTGCATCTTTGGGCTTTTCTGCCTCCAAAGCTATGGGAAATAAACGTTTAAGCCACCCAGGCTACAGTATTGTGTTGGTGTGAGGTGATGAGGGCACTTTCCAAGTGAGGGGTCATCAGGGGCCTGGGAGTCCATCCACCTCTCAGGGAAGCCTTGCAGGACCATTTAGGGTTAAATATTACCTTGTACCCCTCCTTGCCTGCCACTCCCTCTCCCTTTTCCTGGAGATCAAGCCATAAACACCTCCCTTTCCTCTTCCTCTGGGAGGCTTTCCCGGGAAGGGGGCGGGAGGAGGGGACACACACACTCCTGTAGACTGTCTACCCTCTACTGGAAGCCACTGGTCGCCACTGGCCTAGGAGGTCAAGGGAGTCTAGATCTAGTTAGATCTACAGGCTGAAGTAGGGACACTAGGCCCTAGCCTCCCCCATAGGTGTTTTTTTTTGGAGTGTCATCATGCCCAAGCCTCCTCCTCACTGTTCCCCAATGGAGTTCACAGACTGGCTTAATGAGCCCCTCAGGTGCGTGTCTCAAGCCAGCTGTCCTCGTCTTCTGATGTCTGGGAAACAAAAATAGTTCCAAGAAATGAGCAGCCTCATTGTATGGGGTTACCCCATTTCAGCCTCTGCCCCCAGGACTCTCAGAAGCAAGGTGACAGGGTCCGGCTGTCATATCTAATCTCACCTACTCAGACAGTTTTAATTATGAGCGTACATCAATGATCCTAGAATCCAGAATCATTACAAGTTTCAGAAGAGGGAATGCATCTAGCCTGGCAGTACTTTATGATAGGGGAAGGGCTTTCTTCTCGTCTTGTTCTTTCCCTCAAACAGCTCTGTAAACTAGGACTGATTTTATCATCCCCAGAAAAGGGATGTGCACACTGAAGCTTCCTGCTGTAAACTTGGTGGGCAGAGCACCAGGGCTCAGTCAAGATTTCCAACTATAAAGCCCAGGCTGGCTTCAGGACCAGTTCTAGAGATGGCAAAGGATTGTTGTGCTCCATAGCTCTGGTCATTACAGACATCACTAATGTAGCTATAAATGGACTTGAACTTTCGATCCTCTTGCCTCCATTTCCCAAATGCTAGGATTCTTTAGTACTGGCTACCCTGTAACTTGATAGCCTGTAACTCATAGACACCCTCCTGGCTCTGGAATTTAAAGGAGTGCACCACTATGCCAGCCCTGACTGTTTATTTTTGCAATCATGCCTGCCACATTGGTCTCAGAGATTTCAGAGTGGTTGCATTGTCTCAGTTCCTTTGTCAAGCCTGGGAACTCTTACTATGTAGCCCAGGTTGGCCTCAAACTCATGGGTGATCCTCCTGCCTCTGCTTCTGGAGTGCAAGCACAGCACTGACCACACCCAGCCCCAAGTCTGGGAATTTGTTCCATCCTACCACGTCCTTTACAGATGAAAAAACTGAAGTTCAGAGAAGATGAGTCACCTTCTCAAAGCTGCACAGCTCCAGTGTGGACTGTGAACCTGGGGCTCCCCAAGAGATTACAGGGGCTCCTTCATGCACCCCCATGCACCCCACCCGCAACCCCGCTTTTCTTCTAAATTCTGTCCCTGGCAGCCTGCCAGCCCTCCCCAGGGTACTGCCTTGTTCCTCCTGTCTACCGTCCACCATCCTTCTTCCAGAGAAAGGGCCAACCGGAAGGCAGTTCACGTTAGGAAGTTCCAGCCACGTGAGCAAGCAAGAGCCAAGGATTCTGGGCAGCCGGTGGCTTTAGGAGAAACTGAAACTGGGTGTGCTGGGGGCGGAGTGGTCACTGGGGATTTAAAGAGCCACCACTTCCTTGGGCCTCCAGAGGGCACTGGGAGGGCAAGGCTGCTGAGGGACACCCAGGACCGGATTGAACCTCTGCTCCCCTGCCTAAGCCATGCAACTCTGTGGGAGCGGTGCGCTGCTGACTGGGCCAGTGAGTACAGGGGACTAGGAAAGAAACACATGGAGAGAAAGCGGCCACGGGTCCCTGGGCTCAGACGAGGAAGGATGCAGTGAGGAGCTCCCAGTGAGGAGCTCCGGTCCCAGCTCCACACCATGGTCTGTGTGACCTGGGACTGGGCTCCACACTCCCACCTCTGGGTTCAGTTCCTCCTGGGGATTGGAATGAAGCCTTCCCAGCTCTCACACTGCAGACCAGCCTCCAGCTTTCGACTTGGACTCTGCAGACCTGCTTCCTCTTGTTCCATTTGCTCTCACCTTGCTGCTGCATTTTCCAGACCCTTCCCTTCTCTCCTCAGTCCCTCAAATCGAAGCTTCCTTCTTTCCTTCACCGACTCTCTCTCTCCTAGTCTTCTGGTCCTCTGGGCTCTGAAGTTTGCCCTGAGGAGAATACAGCCATTGGCAGCCACAAAGCAAGGAATGTGCAGCGTCCTCGGCCAGGGTGGCTGGGGTCCTTCCTGCCTGGGGTGGAGTGACAGAGGCACAGGTTCCATTTAAGTCCCGTGGTCCCCAGGGTTGGAAGGCTCAGAGCTCTCGGCCACAGTCCCCGCCTCTGTCAGGCAGACTCTCCATTCATTCAGTCTAGGCATTCATTCATTCTCGGCAGCCATCCCATTTCAGTGTGAGCATGGAGCTTTGCCACCTTTTCTAAGCTAGACAAATACTCCCCACCAAGCTGCATTCCTACCTTCTTTATTGTTTGTTTGAGAAAAGATCTCACGTATCTCATCCTAGCCTCCAACTCACTATGTCGCCAAGCCTGGCCTGGACCTAACCCTTCTGTTGGGATTGTATGCAGGCACCACCACGTCGGGCCATTTTGCCTGTTTTGTTTTGCCCTTTGTTTTGTTTGTTTGTTTTTGTTTTTCTTCGAGACAGGGTTTCTCTGTGTAACAGCCCTCCCTGGTTATCCTGGAACTCACTCTGTAGTCCAGGCTGGCCTTGAACTCACAGAGCTCCGCCTGCCTCTGCCTCCCCAATGCTGGGATCAAAGGTGTGCACCACCACTGCCCAGCTTGTTTTTGTTTTTTCAAGACAGGGTTTCTCTGTGTAGCTTTGTGCCTTTCCTGGAACTCACTTGGTAGCCCAGGCTGGCCTTGAACTCACAGAGATCCACCTGTCTCTGCCTCCCGAGTGCTGGGATTAAAGGCGTGTGCCACTACCGCCTGGCTGTTTTTGTTTTTTTTCTTCCCACTTCTGTGCCCTCCTAGATTAGTGCCTGGTACACAGTAGGTGCTTAATAAATGTTTGCTGAAAGGGTGGGGAGATGGCTTAGTTGGTGAAGCTCTTGCCTTGGGAGTCTGAAGACCTGGGTTTGGTCCCTAGCAGCCGTTTAAAAAGTCTGGGGAGCAGGGAGACGCAGGTCTCTGCGAGATGACCAGGCAGTGGTGAGTCCCAGGTCAGTGAGAGACTGCCTCAAAAAATAAGACGGGGGCTGGAGAGATGGCTCATTGCTTAGGGAGCACTTACTGCTCTTAGAGAGGACCTGAGCTTGGTTCCCAGAATCTGCTTGGGGCAGCTCACAACCAAACCACCTGTGACTCCAGCTCCAGGGGATTTAACACCTTCTTCTGGCCTCCAAGGGTACCTACACTCACATACACACACATGTCACCACATACATATGCACATGACTTTAAAAATGAAAATAAGGTGGAGGGCTTCTGAGCATGAATGATATCTAAAGTTGACTTTCTGGCTTCTATACACATGTGTGTCTATACACACACACACACACACACACACACACACACACACACATTAAAAAATAAATGTTCTTTTTTTGTGGTAAATAAATGTACTTTGAGTAAGTGAATACTAGTACTTTGGGACTGAGGTGGGCATGAGCACATGGAACATATCAGGCCCTGACGCTGTCTTTGTGGAGCTCTTGGCTAGGAAGATCAACCCTTGGATTATAGAAATGGCAGCTCACTGGTGTGTCTACTCCCAACTTCTCTCCTCTACTCTCTGTGGACATTTGGGGTAGTACCATGTGCCTCTGTTGTACTCAGAAGAGTCAATGCTGGCTTTTGAGAATCTGTGTTTGAGGTTGCTATATTCTGGGTTCAAATCCCAGCCTTCTAACTTATGTAAGCTGTGAGCTGGATACTGGATAAGGTTGGGTTTACAGTAAGGACTGCAGTGTCTTGGGGGGGCGGGGACTGTAGGCACCATGGGAGGAAACATTTTGGGAGAACAGGGGTTCTCAAGGACTAGACTTGAGAAAGACAGCTGATCAGGGTAGAGGGGGCATGCCACTGCCAGGAACCCAGAACTCTCTGCCTCATGCCCCATAGGACCCTGAGGAGTGTCAGAAGCAGCTGAAGAAGAAGCAGAAGAACCGGCTGGCTGCCCAGCGCAGCCGGCAGAAGCACACTGACAAGGCGGATGCTCTGCACCAGGTAGGGATGCCCTCTGTTGGTCCCTACAGAGAAAAGAGCTCTCTTCTTTCTAAAAGTTTACCTTATTGTTGTTATTGTTTCTGTTTTGTTTGAGTTTGTTTTTTGAGACAGGGTTTCTCTGCATAGCTCTGGCTGTCCTGGAACTCACTCTGTAGACCAGGCTGGCCTCAAACTCAGAGATCCGCCTGCCTCTGCCTCCCGAGTGTTGGGATTGAAGGGGTGTGCCACCACTACCCCGCTAAAAGTTTGTTTTATTTTGTATGTATGGGTATGAATATTTTGCCTGCATATATGTCTGTGCACAACATGTGTGTCATGTTCTGGAGGACAGAAGAGGACAGCAGATCCCCTGGCACTAGAGTTACAGATGGTTGTGAGCCTCCATGTAGGTGCTGAGAATGGAGCCTGTCCCTCTGGAAGAGCAGCTAGTGCTCTTACCCAATGCGCCATATCTCTAGACCCAGAAGAGTTTCTTCTGTAAAGTCCAGAGCATGATCCAGCATCTGCCCAGCATCTAGTGAGAACCTCTTGGGGAGTCACGGGAAAGTGAAGACATGACATGGTGAGGAAGGAGTATGCCAGAAACATAACCCACTAACCCATGAGTGGATCAGTCCATTCCCTCACCATGGCCATCATTCCATACTTTATCCACACTGTTGCCTTGAATCCAATAACGTGTGAATAGTTTATTAAATCTACTTTTAGATAAAAACTACTACTCTTAAATATTTTACACTGCTATGGATTTTTGTATATTGATACAAATATGAAGTTATTTTTGTTATACTGAATATATGTTTCTACTCTTTTTTAATTATTTATTTTTGTTTTATGTGCATTCTTGTTTTGCCTGCATGTGTGTGTGTGTGTGTGAGGGTGTCAGATCCCCTGGAACTGGAGTTACACACAGTTGTGAGATGCCATGTGGGTGCTGGGAATTGAACCCAAATCCTTTGGAAGACCAGCCAGTGCTCCTAACTGCTGAGCTATCTCTCCAGCCCTGTTTCTACTCTTGTTTAAGATATTTTTATATATTGATACAAGTTTAAGGTTATTTTTGTTAGAACCTACTGTACCTATGTTTCTACTCTTGTTTAAGGTATTGCACCTATACAGCATATTTAACAATGTAATATAAATTTACAGTCCTTGAAAGTTATTATTACAAACTATTTAGGATAATAAGGAAATGCAGGTTAGTAGTTAGTCACTTATTGCCATCAAACTGGTAGTCATGTTAGATATGTTTTCAAGGTCAAACAGAGATATCTTTTAGGTGGTCTTCAAACACTTCAGAGAGCTACAGAATATGGCATTTAAAATGTTTTAATAACATAGTTTTTTTTTTTAAAGATTTATTTATTTATTATGTATACAGTGTTCTGTCTGCATGTATGTCTGGACACCAGAAGAGGGCACCAGATCTCATTTCAAATGGTTGTGAGCCGTCATGTGGTTGCTGGGACTTGAACTCTGGACCTCTGGAAGAGCAGTCAGTGCTCTTAACCTCTGAACCATCTCTCCAGCCCCATAAGGTTTTTTTTTTTTTTTTTTTTTGACAATGAGACATATCTGGCAGCATCAATCTACTTCAGAGAAGATGATGGGCATCGAAGAAACTCCATATGGAGTTTACTTTCTTTGTGGTAGAAATTAGCCACTGGGCAGGAAACTGTCCTTGCCTTGAGTGCTGACAGTATGCTGTCCAAATGGACATGTAGGACACAAAAGAAAGGGACTGCCAAACTTTGCCAAGATAAGGAGGACAGTCCTTCAAAATTCCTGCTCCCCAGAAAAGTCTGTCAGATATTCAGTACCTGCAGGCTAAAGATGAATGTCCCAATGTTATAGAGGAATCTTGGGTGACTGTCCAGGCAGTTAACTGTTTCTGTCATTTCTTAGTTTTGGAAGTTGTTTGATCTGCACTTCCGGTTTACTCAGGTAACATTATATCCTTCTCAGGTTTCTGATGGAGTTGAAGACTAGATAGTTATAGTTATAGTTTTCCTTGTTACCAGACTCAGAAAAGAAACTCACAAAAGAGATGTAAAGTGTATAAGGTTGAGAGACATAAAAAGATAGTTTTGGGTTGGTCATACACGTTAGGATGGAAAGCGAATTTGGTACAACACTTTGAACAAAATAGGATAGATAATGGAGTGTCTTCTCTGAATGTGTCAAATGCAAATGGACTGGACATTTTTAATGTAATTCTTACATATATATTTGTATATAGTTATTATATGTATTGTATATGATTTTAGCATGTTAGTTAAAATCTTCCTTTTGAGCCAGGCAGTGGTGGCGCACACCTTTAATCCCAGCACTCGGGAGGCAGAGCCAGGTGGATCTCTGTGAGTTCAAGGCCAGCCAGATCTACAGAGCGAGATCCAGGACAGGCACCAAAACTACACAGAGAAATCCTGTCTCGAAAAAACAACAACAAAAAAGTCTTTCTTTCTTCTTTTTCTTTTCTTTTTTAGACAAAAAGGGGGAAATGTGTGATATTTTGAGCATGTTCTGACAAATAAAGCTTTCTTGGAGTCAGATGGTGGAATTAGCCACTAGGTGACCAAAATTAACCACAGAAGTTTTGGAAGACTGAGGACAGATAGGAGAGGAAGTAGTAAGGTGGGGCAGAAAGGGATCTGGCTCTCTGTTTGGAGGAAGGAATTGAGCAGGTAGGATGGACTGGTGGCTTCTCTGCTTCTCTGATCTTTCAGGCTCTTACCCCAATACTTGAATTTTTATTGATAAAAATAATTAGAGGGGGTTGGGGATTTAGCTCAGTGGTAGAGCGCTTGCCTAGCAAGCACAAGGCCTGGGTTCAGTCCTTAGCTCCGGAAAAAAAAAATAATAATAATTAGAGTAACACTTCAGTCATCCTTCACAATAGCCTTCTCTTGCATCCTCCACGTTGCTTCTCTCCTGAGACTCCAGATGCCACGAAGGCAGGGAACTGTCCCATTCCGTTCTGCTTGCAACCACCTACAACAAGGCCTGGCAGGAAGAAGAAGCTCCACAGTTTACTGTAGAGCAAATGGCAGCATCAGGACAGAGCGCTCTGGAAGACAGTGTGGGAGGACACATTCAGTCCCTTGGGCCACCATACCCAGCACCACAGATTGGCTTAAACCACACACAGTTCTGCATTTGTCTGGTGATTTTGATGCTGGGAAGCACAACTCCAGATCAAAGTCATGGTGCTGGACAAACGGTCTCTATAACTGAGCTATGCCTTCACCCCCGAATTTATTTATTTATTTGTTTATTTATTAGATTTGAACTGATTGTTAATGTGAGTATGGGGGGGCTCGTGCATCTGTACCACAGCATGCATGTGGAGGCCGGAGGACAACTATGTGAAGTCAGTTTTCTCCTCCCATGTTTGAACCAGTCCCAGGGATCACACTTAGGTCATTAGGCTTGTGTGGCAGAGTGCCTGTACCTGCTGAACCACCTCACTAGGCTGGCTTACTTCTTATTTCATTTCATTTATTTATTTATTTATTTAGAGCAGGGTTTCTCTGTGTAGCCCTGGCTGTCCTGGAATTCACTGTGTAGACCAGGCTGGTCTGGAACTCAGATCTGCCTGCCCCTGCCTCCCAAGTGCTGGTATTACAGACATGCACCACCAGGCTTGTCTTATTTTTTGTTTTTTATTATGTATATGTGTGTGTCTATGTGCTTATAGGTGCAGTGCCCACAGGAGCCAGGGGTGTCAGAGCCCCTGGAACTGGAGTTCCAGGTGGTTGTGAGCCACCTGACATGGGTGCTGGGAGTTGAACTTGGATCCTCTGGAAGACCAGTTCACTGTCTTAACCTCTGCCTCTCTGGTGCTAGGATTACAGGCATGCGCCACCATGCCCAGTTTATGTGGTGCTAGGGATTGATCTCAGGACTTCATTTATGCTAGGTGAGCACCTACCAACTGAGCTACGTCCCCAGTAGAAATATCCATTCTGGGGCCGTAGAGAGGGCTCAGCAGGTAAGAAGAGCAGGTGCTGCCAGGTCCGAGGACCTGAGTTCAATCTCTAAGACCCACACAGTGGAAGAAGAGGACTGACCCCCGGAAGTTGTCTTTGACCCCACACTTGCACTGTGGTGTGGATGTGCCCCCTACACAATAAATGCACACATAAATAAAATACACTTCAAATTTCTGTAAAGGAAAAAAGAAAGGTCCTTTCCATCTGTAGAAACCGTTGTGCAAGTGGTGCTGCTCGTGGCTCTGAGGCTTTCCGAGCCACGCCCGTGGCCTCCACCACACTGCATGCAGAATGCCCGTGGCCTCCACCACGCTGCATGCAGAATGCCCGTGGCCTCCACCACGCTGCATGCAGAATGCCCGTGGCCTCCACCACACTGCATGCAGGGCGCCCGTGGCCTCCACCACACTGCACGCAGGGCGCCCTTGACCGTTCTCCTTGTAAAGTGTCCCACAAAGGGGACAAAGAAGTTGTTTGAGTTATTCAGACGTAAGAGGTGTGGAAATAAAGTTCTCCATGTCTCCACCGTCACTGTCACCTAAACGCTGCTCAGAAGTGCGAGTGCGGAGCGGAAGGAGGCAGGACGTCTCAGTGGGTAGAAAGTCGGACCCCTGAGTTTGAGTGGCGAGAGGACAGCACTTCTTCCACTGGTTTTCCTCTGATCTCCACACACGGATCATGGCACATGCCACTCCCCCCAAAATGTTTAAAGAAATAGAAGCACAATCCTTGCATGGTGCACATGCTCAGATGGGGCTCTAATCCAAGAGGACTGAGAGTCTCACAAAGGGAGGAACGGTGCAGTGGGCATGGTGGCACGTGCCTGTAATTCTAAGGTTTGGGATCCAACAGTCTAGAGGATCAGGAGTTCAAGGCCAGCCTGGGCTATATGCTACTGTCTCAAAAACAAGACAATTGCATGTTGATGATTGCCCTGTGTGTTTTCAGAACCTATGGTTCAGCCAAACAGGGCTTAGAAAATGCCGACTCAGGGGTACCTGCCAACCTATGCAGCAGTACCCTGAATCCCTTAGTGTCTTGTTGGTGCCTTCTGAGGACCTGGAATCTGAGCCCTGGCCTTTAGCAGGCTCAGTGTATCCAGGGAAGAAGGACATTGAAATTGCCCTGTAAAGGCCATCTCAAGAGTATCAAAGAGTCCAGGCAGAGCAGACAGTAATGTGCGAAAGAAGCAAATTCCAGAGGGAAGGACAGGAATTAAGAGAAGCCTGACCGGGCGGCGGTGGCGCACACCTTTAATCTCAGCACTTGGGAGGCAGAAGCAGGTGGATCTCTGTGAGTTCAAGGCCAGCCTGGTCTACAAAGTGAGTTCCAGGACAACCAGGACTGTTACACAGAGAAACCCTGTCTTGACCCCCCCCCCCCCCCCCCCCGAGAGAGAGACAGAGACAGAGAGAAGCCTGGAGCCCCACAGCAGTGCATTCAGACCCTGGAGTCTTGGAAATCTTTAATGACTTCAGTCTACAGTTAATGGCACAGGAGGGCACGGTGGTACTTGCCTATAATCGCAGGATTTGGGAGGCTGAGGCAAGGGAGGGCTGCAGCCAGTTAAAGGCTAGCCTGGGCTATAGAGGAAGACCTCGTCTCCGAAAGCCTGGGGGGATGCCGTAGTAGGTAAGAGCATTTGCTGTGCGAGCATGAAGACTTGAGTTCAAATTTCTAACCATCTTAGATGCTGGGCGTGGCCACCTGTGCCTGGAACTGCAGCATTATCGGCAGAAACAGGCACATCCCAGGAGCCTGCTGACCAAAACGCCCCCAGCTTTAGTGGGGGGATCCAGACTTAAGGAAATAGAAGGCAGAGAACAATAGAAGATCCCCAATGTCTTCCTGTCACCTCATCTGCTTACAGTGCCCCCTCCCCAATCAATCAGAGATACAGTTCAAATCCATCAAACAAGACCCAGTCACTGAATGGGCCAATGAAGTGATGGGAGGTGGGGGACAGATCCTGGGTAAGAAGTGGTGCTCCCCCGAGGACCTATAGTGGGCAGAGAGCAAGGTCTCAGCTCCGGAGATTCGGGATAGGGGAACATGATGAGCCTGCCAGAGAGTAGCCAAGAGGTTCTATCTGGACATTCATATCCTATGACAGTGAGTACCCTGCACAGGGTCCTGATCCTGACCTCTCTCCCTGCCACTTCCTTCTCTCCCAGCAGCATGAGTCCTTGGAGAAACACAACCACGCCCTTCGGAAGGAGATCCAGGCCTTGCAGGCTGAGCTGGCACGGTGGGGCCGGACACTGCATCTGCATGAACGCCTGTGCCGAGTGGACGGTGGCTCCTGCCCCACTCTGCTGCCCTCTGGATGCCCAGTCCAGGCCGAGCAACTCCCGGGACAACCTGCCTCCCATGGATACTGTGGCTGCCAGGAAGAGCCGGGCCTGTTCCAGACTCCTGGTTCCTCTCCCCCAGCCCAGCAACTCTCTCCAAGTCCATGCTTCCATGAGTCCCCTGGCCTCCTCCCTTCCCCACTGCCCTCACTGTCCTTTGACCCTCTCATGATGAGGACCCCTCTAGCCCAGCTGTCCCCCAGCCCTGTACTGTCCACATCATCCCCTGGCTCCAGCCTGCTGGGGTCTTTCTCTAAGTCTGATGCCCTCATGCCCAGCCCCCCAGACCAGCTGGGCTCTCCTCAGCCCCTCAGGCTGGAGCATCCCACCAGCAGGAAGCTGGCATCTTCCTCCAGCCCACCAGCTGCTCTGGGACCAGAGTGTCCACAGAACATACAGCGCTTGCCTGCACTGTCTGGCTCCTCAGCAGATTGGCAGAAGCTGTCTGTGGACCCTAGCCCACACCCCCTCATGGCCTTCCCGCTGCTCTCTTCTGCAAAAGTCCACTTCTAGCCTGTATCTAGAGTTGGGCTGCCTTCCCTGAGTTCCTGAAGCAGCCTCAGCACCCAGGCAGCGCCTCCATTCTGCTTGAGTCACCAACTGCCTACTGCTGTGGACCAAGCAAAGCCATCCTCTCCCTCAGCAGAGGCTGCAGGAAAAGATGATGGGGAAGGGGCAAATGCAAGAACCTTGAACCTGGCTGCAATACTGCCTGTGTTTTTCTTGGTGGCTCTTCCAGCCCTGCACAGTACCAGGTCCTGTTACCCTCGGGCTCCTCTAAAGAGGCTCCTTCATGACTCTCAGGACTGGGACCATGACAGCTAAGAGAGTAGGTGGGAGCTCTGCAGGGTTATCAGCTCCGAAAGGGCAGTCATTCCCACTCAGCACTAGGGTTTCACACATGGAACTGAGTGAGAGGGTGTGTCAGAAGTGGACTCACTCCAGGATCAGAACACACATCTCAGCACTTGTGATGCTAAAAAAAAAAAAGTGTTTCCCAGGCCCCTTTGTTTTTCTGGGTTGTTGAAAACTGGTTACACTCTGTTGATTATATATATTATATAAACATATATGCTGTGGAATAATCTTTCTGTTCATATGTCACTATGATTGGTTTAATAAACAAACTGAGAATGATGGGATGAGGAAGGGTGGAGTCAGAGGGGCACCAGCCAGACGGAGAATGAATGAGCAGACACACAAAATGGGATAGAGGTAAAAAGCCATGAGCCTCAGGGCACCACATACATTAATAGAAATAGGTTAAGTTGTAAGAGCTAGTTAGTAACAAACCTGAACTATTGGCCAAGTGTTTATAATTTATATTAAGCCTCCGAGTCAATTATTTGGGAAGCAGCTACCGGATATTTGGGAATAGGCATGTGGGACAGAAAAACCACCTACACACACACACACACACACACACACACACACACACACACACACACACACACGTTGGAAGCAAAAACAAGACAGCAAAGTAGAGATGAGATGGATTTTCTCAGGCATATCAGTCATCAGGGTTCTCACTGGGTGGTGCAGACTTGCCCAGGAACTCACTATGTAGTCCAGGTTAGCCTTGAACTTGCATCAGTCTGTGAGCTTCAGCATCCCAAGTGCTAAGATGACAGACGTGGACCACTATGGCTGTTTCTTCCCTGCACTCTGAGTGCAGACCTTGAGCAGAAGGGCTAGCACATGCTTCTAGTCAAGGGCTCAGAAGGCTACCCTCCATCTTCTGCTCAAATGTGAAAGGGCTGCGCTTAGATTACTGCTCATTTGGCGACTACTGAAGAGCTTCGAAGAATAAAGAATATTTTGGAGGGCCAGCCAGATGGCAAAGGCACTTACTTGCCATTTAACGCTGGTGAGCTGAGTTCCACATAAAAGTAGGAGAGAACTGACTCCACAAAGTTGTCCTCAGGTCTCTACAGGTGTGCTGGGGTGCACCCTCATCCCCACACAGCATCCCTGCACACAGTAAGAAACTAGAGTGCTTTGTAGATTGAGAGGAGACGATGTTTGCAGCATCCTAAGCAGAAAAACTGGAGTCTAGCACTAGAACTGTCACTGTAGTTTGATCCTCTGTTTGTTTAAAAACATAAACAGAATCAGGCGGTGGGAGGACTCGGCTTCTGAGAGCAGCAGGCACTCTGTCTGTGCGACTCCAGATATGTAAACACAGCTAGCAGGCTAGACCAGCTCTCCAGGAGGCTCGGCACATCCTCATGTCTGCACGGCCGTGCTAGTGATCTGCTGCGATGTGACAAATGGCTCCAAGACTTAGTAGCTTAGGTACCAAACAGTTCTTTCTTTCTTTCTTTTCTTCCTTCCTTCCTTCCTTCCTTCCTTCCTTTCTTTCTTTCTTTCTTTCTTTCTTTCTTTCTTTCTTTCTTTCTTTCTTTCTTTCTTTCTTTCTTTCTTTCGACACAGTCTCATACTGTAGCTCACACAGGCCTTGAATTCAAGGTAATCTTTCTGTTTCTGCCTCCCAAGTACTGGTTGATTTTTTTTTCTGGTTTTGGTTTTTGGTTTTTCTTTCGTTTTTATTCTTTCTTTTTTTTTTTGTTTTGTTTTGTTTTGTTTTTTCAAGACGGTTTCTCTGTGTAGCTTTGCGCCTCACTCTGTAGTCCAGGCTGGCCTCGAACTCACAGAGATCTGCCTGCCTTTGCCTCCCGAGTGCTAGGATTAAAGGCGTGTGCCACCACTGCCCAGCATTTTTTGGTTTTTCAAGGCAGGGTTTCTCTATGTAGCCCTGACTGTTCTGGAGCTCACTCTGTAGACCAGGCTGGCCTGGAACTCACAGAGGTCCACCTGCCTCTGTTTCCTGAGTGCTGGGATCAAAGGTGTGTGCCGCCACTGCTCAGGTCCCATGCTTGACTTTTTGAAAGAAAAAAACATTTATAGGTCTGGGAATGTTGCCACATGCTTTTAATCCCAGCACTTGCAGGAGTCAGTTAGGTGGATCTCTGAATTTGAAGCCAGACTGGTCTACATGGAGAACTCCAGGCCAGCCAGGGATATATAGCAAGATTTTTTTTGTCTCAAAAATACAAGGGGCTGGAGGGATGGCTCAGCAGTTAAGAGCCCATACTGTTCTTTTTTTTTTTTTTGAGACAGGCTTTCTCTGTGTTTCTCTACTCACTCTGTAGCCCAGGCTGGCCTCAAACTCACAGAGATCCACCTGCCTCTGCCTCCCGAGTGCTGGGATTAAAGGCATGCACCACTGCTTGGCTAAGAGCCCATACTGTTCTTGCAATGGACCCAAGTTTGGTTCCCTGCACCCATGGCAGACAGCTCATAACCACCTGTTAGTTCCAGCTCTAGGGGGTCGGAAGCTTCTTCTGAACTCTTTGGTCACCTTCCCTTATATGTGCATACCCCACAGGCGTATACACATATAGACACATAACTAAAATAAACCTTTTAAAAATAATAAAAGGAGGGGGCTATGGCTTAATGACAGAGTGCTTGCCTAGCACACATAAAGCCTTGGTTCATCCCTAGCATTGCAAAAACAAGTAAATATTGGTCTGGGAAGATAGATTAGCTGGTAAGACATTTGCTCTGCAAGCATGAGTGCCTAAATTCAATCTGCAGACATCACCTTAAACAAACAAACAAACAAACAAACAAACTGGTGTGCTGCAGAACATGCTCCATATGCTGCTGGTGTTAGCCCCTCACCACCCGCCAGCTTCCAGGCAGCTCTGTGCTTTCACCTCCCCGCCAGTCACACGTGCTAATTTCTAATTTATAGAAATGGATTAATTTAAGCTATAAGAACAGTTAGCAAGAAGCCTACCACGGCCATACAGTTTGTAAGCAATATAAGTCTCTGTGTTGCCTTGGTTGGGTCTGAGCGGCTGTGGGACTGGCGGGTGAGAGAGATTTGTCCTGACTCTGGGCCAGGCAAGAAAACTCAAGCTACATGGGGCTGCCAGGCAGAGAGAATAAATAGGAGGAGCAAGAAAAGGAGAAGGAGAGGACATCAGGGGCTACACCCAGCTACAACCAGCAACGGAGTAAGAAATAAAGAAAGGTATATAGAATAGAAAAAGATAAAAGCCCAGGGGCAAAAGGTAGATGGGATAATTTAAGTTAAGAAAACCTGGCTATAAACAAGCCAAGCTAAGGCCGGGCATTCATAAGTAAGAATAAGACTCTGTGTGTGATTTATCTGGGAGCGGGGTGGTGGCCCCCAAAAGAGCAAAGAACAAAGAGTAAAAGAGTAAAGAGTAAAAAAACAACTACAAGGCCAGGCAGTGGCGGCGCACGCCTTTAATCCCAGCACTCGGGAGGCAGAGCCAGGAGGATCTCAGTGAGTTCTAGGCCAACCTGGTCTACAGAGCGAGATACAGGACAGGTACCAAAACTACACGGAGAAACCCTGACTCAAAAAAACAAAAACCAAACAAACAAAACAAAAAACAACTACAGCACTCAGGGGGCAGAAGCAGGCAGATTTCTGAGTTTGAGGACAGCCTGGTCTACATAGTGAGTTCCAGGAGAGCCTGGGCTACATAGTGAGACTCTGTCTCAAAAAAAGAGAAGAAAATGACCAGAGTTAAAAGGACAGAATGTCTAGGTAGGTGTCATTCATGGCCAAGCCCTGGGTCATGCAAAAACTTGGGGTAGGATATCCCAGGCAGAGGACAGGGAATGAGCAAAGGTTCTGGGTTGGGACAGGCTAATTGTGCTTGAAGACAAGAAAGAAAACTGATGTGACGAGAGTCCCATTAATAATGAGTGGAGAGACAAAGATGAGGCTGGAACATGGGCCATGATATCATGGAGCCTACAAGAGGCCATTGTTTGGGTGAGTGAGCAGTCCCTGGAATATTTTAAGCTGTTTTGTTCTGTGGAGGTGGTTTTACAAACACACACACACACACACACACACACACACACACACACACACACACACACAGAGAGAGAGAGTTTATTTGAGAGAGTCTTGTAGTTTAAGCTGGCCTCAAACTCACTATGTAGCCAAGGCTGGCCTTGGTCTTCTGATCTTCCTGCCTGCTCCTACCAACTGCTGAGACTATAGGTATGTACTACTATTTTGTGTCCTACTTCCACCTTAGAACAATTTATTGAAGGCCATCGAGTTAACTCAGTAAGCAGAGGCAGTAATGACCAGACTTAATAATAATCAGAGTTGGGTCCCCAGATCTCAAAAAGTGACAAGAGAAAGCCAACTCTCAGGAGCTATACTCTGATCTGCACACATGTATCATCACACATTCAAACCTGCTCTCTCTTGTTCTTTCTCTCACACGTAAGATAAAATAAGTTATTTAAAAAAAATAACTATTGACATGCCTAGAATCCCAGAACATGAGACATTCAAACCTGCTCTCTCTTGTTCTTTCTCTCACACGTAAGATAAAATAAGTTATTTTAAAAAAATAACTATTGACATGCCTAGAATCCCAGAACATGAGACACAGAGGCAGGAGGATCACCACAGGTTCAGTTCAAGGCCAGCCTGGTCTACTACATAAGTTTAAGGCCAGCCTACGCTACATGTGAGTGTCTCCACAACAAAAGTGGGGGCAAGATGAATAGGTGGGTAAAAGCACTTGCTGTGCAAGTGTGGTGGACCTGAGCTCAACCCCCAGATTCTGAGGTGGAGAGAGAACTGACTCCTTAAAAGCTGTCCTCTGACCTCCACATGTGACCTGTGGCACATGA